CTATGTCTCACAACCTCCTGCTTCTGTAACTTATGCTATTCCGGTCTTGTCTTTGAACAACTTAGACCATCTCTTTCCACAACCTACCTTTGCTTCTGGTTCTTGTATTCTTGATGTGGAGGAGGTAAAATCCACCTTTATTGTTCACTGCTGGTAATTTAGGTATGTGTTATTTGTTCTCTTACTCCAGTGGTTTTTGTTGATTCCCAGGCAAGCTTTTTTCATGCACCTCAATTCATACAATTTTTTCCCCCTTCTTCCTCCCTCACCTGCTTCTTTTCAGTTATTGCAGATTCTTTCTGTCTGCTTCATTTTGATTCTCAGTTGCCACATTCTTTTTTGAACTTAAAGATTCCTTCTTTGTGATTGCAGTTCTTTTCTAGTTTTTTCTATCCCTCAAATATCTTCCCATGGCTGGGATTTTTATCTCTCCTACTCTGACTCTCTTTTATCATCTTTATCTTTTGCTTACTGTTTGAGCTTGCTGCCCTTACCCTTATCTTTTGAGACTCAACATCACTCCCACAGCAGGTTCAATGGAGAGGATTACATTAACCTGTTCTTTGGGTTTTCTTCTTCAGTTGTTGCCTAGTTCACTTACCTCTGTTTTTCTAGATTTCACTTTATCAGGATGCCTTATTTTCTGGAGTTAGACTCCGTCAGTTTTATTTCATGGGACTCCATTTGGCACTCTACTTTCATGCAGTCCTGTGACCCATACATGTTGTTTTCTCCCTCATGAGAGGTCAGCCATCATGGGTGTTCTATGATCAACTGGATTTGAAACCACCCCTCATCTTTGGTCTTGTGAGAGCTTGATTCTTATATTATGTCTGTCTGTCAGCTAACTTTATAGGAAAGCCTTTGGTCACACAATTTTTCTCTCAGAAGATTTCTTTGTCTTTCAAGGCTCACATCTACCTGCCTGTTTTCACCTCGGTCCTAAGAGCTTGATACGGAGAGTGCACTTGGTCTGCACTTCTACCACTATATGAACATTTGACATCTCCTAGTCCTGTCCTGGGAGGCATCATCTGCTGATACCTTGATTGTCCTTTGGGGGTCTGCTCATTTGGGTTGGCTGGTCAGGCTCCTAAGTCAGAATTGACTACTATTCTGTATCTGACTTATTCTGGGAGTCGTCATTGCCTCATATGCTGAACAGGTTCAACTCCTTTACATTTCCATGAAGTGGAGTTTTTGGTTTTCATGTCTCTTAAGATGTACTTTCTTCTCCTTGTTACTTGCAGGTTACATCACTGATATTTTTGCCTTAGATGCCTCTTACTGTCTTAACCACAGGGACAGGTTGATTTCATTCCCAGACACCTCCTTCCTCCCCAAGACCTGACTGTTCAGGAAGGTGATTGGAAAAAACATCCAATCAGCCTCCCTTTCCTGTTGACCCAAATCTTCTCGTTTTTCCTGTTCACACGGTTCGCTGTTATCTAGCTCACTTTTGCTCCTTTTTGAGACAATCAGCATCATCTTTTCTTTTCAGTAGGATTCCTTTTCATCTTGTCCCTTTTCTCCTTTTGCCTTGACTAAATTGGGTTCACCACCTCATCCAGCTTCTCTGAATGCACCCATCTAACACAAGTGGAGTAAGGAGTGTCTACATGGAAGATTAGTACAAGCCACCCACTACTCTAAAAACTGGACAATTTTTGGTGGTTATGACAGGCCATATGGGTCTTACATTCTTCCCAAGATGCAGATCTAAAATGATTCATCCCTGCATCTGCTTAATCTGGTAAGTACATCATGGAAGTGTTTCTAATGTTCTAAGTGCTTTGATATATTGCCCTACACATACGTGGTCTACCAACACCTTGAGATATACAGATCATTGAGTAGCCTTTAAATTCTGCTTATCTATGTGACACTAGCATCACACAGAGATTCTTTTTGCAGTACACTTCTGCACTACCACTTGTATTGGGCAAAAAGTATTCACTGCTTGAGATGAATTTGGTCTCCCTCAGAGTGATGCTCTTACAAGGATAGTGGATAACACACTTTATGGATTTTCCCTTTCTTTTACTTTACTCTCAGAAAGGAGCTTTTTTTAAATTTCTTAATCTACAGTGGTCCCTCCTCTATCTTCTCAATGTGGGATTCTGTGAAGAAGTAACATTTCTGAAGTTAACATTTTTCTTACTTTAAAATCTATTTCTCCACAGAACCACCCATCCTTCCTCCTCATTTCCTGTGTTTTTTTACCTTGTGGAGAATGAGCTTCTGGAATGTAAATTGTTCAAGGGGATAGTACTATGCTCGAAGAAAATGTATCACCCTCCTATTAGTGGAGAGCTATACTTGAATACTAATTGCATCATAGACTGGTTGCAGTACACATTATTATGTATAGGGGGAGCTTTATTCAAAACCTTGGCAATACGCACAAAATATTTTTGGCAGTTGCATATAAGATATTGGCTGTTTATACTGTGAACTTAGTATCTATCTAAAATACATTTTTTAGGTAAGGAAGGTGTTAACTTTAGTATTTTTAATTGGAAAGTTTTTCCTGAAGACAGTTTTATGGCATAATTAAACCATTACATACGCAGACTGCGGTTTTATGGTGTAAAACTTGAGTAACAATTTTGAACATTTCACCTATATTTAACATATTTGGTGAACCTTTATCATGTTTTGATTAGTATTTTAATAAATACTGAGATACAGTCAATTAAATAATAATTATGATTTTATATAATGCTACAAACTAACATTACATGTGAGTAAATATGATTTGACGTTCCTGGCTTGAAAAGAAAGTTTTCTATGTAAATATTAATATATATGTATTTATGCAAGCTTTCCTCTTCATTACTGGAAACTTTGACATGACTGTTCTAGAAAACTTTTAACAGAACATGCCACTCTTGTAGTTATTAAAGATAAGTCATGCTACAAACTGAAATCTAGTATTTACAAGACGAATAAGCTGTTTATTCTTTTTATCATCATGTACATGTAACAAGAAATATAGGTTGTTAAACACCAACTGAAAACTAATTGCTGTTTATTCTGGGTTTGTCATTGGGCACACATCAAAAGGAGAATTTTTGTTGTTGTTGTTAAACAGCAGTGGAAAGCTGTTTCTTTTATAAATTTCATTCAAACTTAAACAGTGCATTAAATTAACATCTGAAATTTAGAGGCATAATATCCGCAGGTTTAAAAGAAAGCATTAATGAGAACACAAAATATATATATTTATAATTTAAATCAACATGTGTTAAAATAAAAGTAGAAAAACAGAGAAGTCAGGCTGGCCAAATAAAGTTTTTCTATGTATATAAATAAAAAATTTGAATTTGTATTTATGAAATATAAGGTACTGTATTACCAAACTTTCTTCTTGATAACAATAACGTTTTTTTGTCCTTCACTTGAGATAAAATATAATGTAGATTTTGCTTGAAATCCAATCAAAAACAAACATGTATCTAAAGATGATGTATTGGAAATGTTAGTTTGTTTGATAGTCATTAATTTTTAATTTTTTCTAGAGTGAAGAATTTCCACTTTCAGTAGAATCGTAAGTAGTCTTTCAGATGTTTTTTTTTTGTGTCAATTCAGGTTGCTTCAGTTTATGAACAAGTGTATAACCAATAATTTAGTTTAAAGATAAAAGGGGAATTTATAAAAATATTTATGAGTGATTTAATATCCTTGGATTATATTAGTATGTGTTAAAAATTGATATATTATTAGGTCGTCAAGAAATTAATGTCCCTTTTTTTTAGATGAAAAAAACCCGAACAACTTATATAACAAAACAAAACATTTATTAAATGAAACAGACTCCATTCTTATCGATAATGCTTTTCCATCTTTAGGTTGTTAATGCCTTGATTAAAGAAATTACTTGGCTTTGAAGAAAAAACATGTCAATGTCCTCTTTAACACCTTCCATATTTGTATACGTTTTCACATTAAGTTAGCATTCAATGATTTATAAGCTTAATGAAATGATTTATTTTGGGGGAGCATACTACATGTTTTGATAGAACATTGGTTTGTCTTCTTCAGGTATGATACCCGACCTAAAGATTGTAATCTGATGGTGTCATATCTGGAGATTATGGTGGGTGGGGGAGAACTTCCCAACCCAACTCCATAATCTTGTGTTGTGTCAAATGTGCCACATGTGGACATGCAATGTCATGGAGAAAAAACACCTTTCTGATTTATGAGTGAAGAGCGTTTCTGATGATGGGCTTGATTTAAATGTTCCAGTTGCTGACTATAGATCTCTGCATTGACAGTTCTCTGTGGATTAAGGAGTTCAAAATGAATTACTCCTTTGATGTCCCACCAAATGCAAAGCATCACTTTCTGCAGATGAAGTACAGGTTGTGGGGTCGGAAGTGGTTTTTGTCTTGGACTGAGCCATTGTTTTTGGCATTTAATATTCGCATAGAGAATCTATTTTTCATCATGGGTGACAATTTTATCCAAAATGGTTCACGCGCATTACGTGCCAGAAGAGATGAAGCAACATTCACACAATGGAAACAATGATCATTGGAGAGTTTGTGAGGCACTCAAACACCTTCTTTATGGAGTTTTCCCATATTCCTTAGATGTTTACGTATTTTTCCATGAGAGACATGCAATTTTAGGGCCATTTCATGAGTGTGTTGCCTTGAGTTAGACTCAACAAGCATATTCAGAGCATCAATATCAATTCCAACATGTCGGCCCCCTGCCATCACAGTTTTTAAGACTAAGGTTACCTGAACAAAATTTGCTGAACCATCGTTCACACTTACAAACGTTCAAAACATTTCCATAAACTTCTTTGATATTCATTGTGGCTACAGAGGCATTGTTTCCCTTCTTGTATTCAAACAGCAATTCATGTCGATCGTGTGTCTCATTGTGTAATATCACTATAAAGTGATGTTTAGGTAGTTTGTTCAAATATTATACATGATGTACATTTTGGGGGGAGTGATTAATGAAAGTATTCCAAAATGTGACATTAATTTCTTGATTACCTAATACTTATTTCAAATCTTCTACATGCTATTGAAGTGACAAAAAAAGAAGAATGGTTGTCCTAAATCTTGTTGGGCAACTTTTTTTTTTTTAATATCACCACATTCACTTTGTTTTACTGGCAGTATTGATAAAAAAATAAATGAAGTAAAATATCAACATTTGTTGAACATTGATCAGAGGTTGCTCCTGCATGTGTTATAAAGGTTTATTATGATGCCAAACATTATTGCTTAAGAAATAAATTGTGGTACTGCAAAGTATTTAGTTAAACTATGTTGGTAACGTTTTTGCCATGTCTGAATATCGTTGGCTTAATGTAAACTAAAAAAAAATTCTAGTTGCATTGACTTTCCGTAGTCCATAAAATATACATAGTATTATATTATATTTATCATGGAGTTAAGAATGATGGAGGATTTAATTTTAAAGATTTCTGGATTTTTAGCAAAATATTTTCTGTTCTCTTGAAAAAATAAATTGAAGATTAAAATACAAAAGCTACAAATTATCCATGCTTATAAATTATTTTATTTTTGTGTAATTGTTTTTATTATATTTATAATATAAATGAATTGATAACCTAAAAACTGATTTTTCTCTGAAAAAAAAATTGCTTTTATTTTCAGCTTATTAAATGTTCTTGAAGTAATTGCTCCTTTCAAACATTTCAACAAATTACGAGAGTTTGTACAAATGAAACTTCCACCTGGTTTTCCAGTAAAAATTGGTATGTAAACTTTTTCTTTTTTTAATGACATGAGTACTTAATTTTTTAGACAAAGCAGATATATATATATATAAAGTTGTGATTGTTTTGTTAAAACATTGAAACTAATCTTATATATCTATGTATATAAAGCATAAAAATCTGTGTCTGTCTCTTTGTCTGTTATCTAACAACTCGTAGGTTGCTAGGCCAATCTCAACCAAGCTTTGTGAAATGATAGTTTGGAATAAGGGGCATGTTAAACCTTTTGTGACGGGCAGGTCATGACATTTTAAAAAGTTATTTTCAAAATTTTATTAAATAACTTATGTCAAAAGGATTCACATCAAAATGAAGGTTATATTTCAAATTTTAATATTATATATGTTTTAATTTCTCAATTTAAAAGGAAATATAAAGAAAAAAATTATAAACATTATTTTTTGTGTCACATAACACTTCCTGTTGTGTTATTGTTCAATTCATAATTAATTATGCCTACAATACGAAGTGTGCAGTAGTTAATGAATAAGAAACTCAAATTGGACATATTGACAAGTTATAATTAAAAATAAGAACCTCCTACCTCTTTGATTTGCTGAGATATAAGTATAGTTAGCCAATCTAGTAGTTTGGCTCCTCCTACTAATCCAGTTTTTCAAGACCTCTTGTCTAGTCCTACCTACTTTTATTTTTCTAAGAGTTTATAACTAATAGAAAGAGCAGTTACTTGTGTACGTAAGTCTTATAGCTGTCTTATTTATCTCAGAGAGTGTGCTAGCACTCTCTATGAAGGAATGCAATTAAAAAACAATGGCTGCCACTATTGGAATACTACATAAACTCAGCTGAAGTTTCTACTCCAACAGCCACCGTAAGGCTGATACAAAGAAACCGTTTCTTGAGTTATACACACTTCTTACTTTGGCCCCTGACCTTTCAATTTCGGGCTGTAACACACTTTTTCAGCCAGTGACCATTAAATAATTAATCACGTGAAACACTGTGAAAGGACGTTAAGAGCTAGGTGTTGAAAGCAGGTAACATAAAGCATCCCTACTGCAATTACTTTGGCTGCTACCTCTTCCTACAAAGTTATGCTGTCCATCACACAGTGTATACTATGTTTTAAATATATACATATTGATCTCTTAAAGCTTATACAAACCTTTTGGTGATGTAATAATATGTTATATTATAATTAAATTGTTTGAAAGTTAGGATTTTTGCTACATTTATCACAGCATCCACCCCCACATTGTTTTAAGTTCATAACCCGGACAAAGGACGGGTACCTCAGCTTATATAAAAAATAATCCCTTGAACTTTATACTTGAAACTAATTTTATATATGTGAAATAATCCCTTGGACATTATACATGACACTGATTTTATATACAGTCCACTTTAGGCTGATTCAATTACTTAGAATCCAGTTGCCAAGATGAACTATTTTTCTTTGCTCTTATCACGATAGTATCAGTGAATAATTCACTTACGCTACCTCAGGGTTACCACAGTTGTATCTCAATCCTTAAATAACTGTCTCCTTTCGTTAATGTCCACACAGACAGGTTCACTTACTTTAGAACACCCTATGACAAGACAAATTATTCTCCTTATCTCTATCGAACTGTAAAACTCACTTTAAAATATAAACTGTTAAGGCTAATCACTCACATGCCAGCTAACTTCACATTTTCTAACTTTACTTTATTTCTACTTTACTTCACTTGACTTCTTCTTGTGCTTGCGAGCCATCTATATAAATACTTTATTCACTGAGGCCTAGAACTTTCTGTAAAGTGTGCAAAAGGTACTGATTTAGCAATACTTAGTTCAGGTAATGAGAAAAATACTGAAGGTTGAAGTAACATGACATCAGCAATATAGCCTCGACAGCAATGAATTGCAAACACCTTTAAAATAATTACTTTTAACTCTCTTGTTATGGAAAACTAAACAATCATTAAATATTAACTTACAAAATTATTAACTAATATTACCTACACTAAACAGTCTTGTTTTTCCAACACCTTTGTACCTTGTATTTAAAATTGATATACATAAGATAATTTCTTGGACATTATATTTGAAACTAATTTTATATATGTAAAATAATTCTTTGGCTATTATACGTGAAATTAATTTTGTATATATAAAATAATTCCTTTGACATTATATTTCAACTACTCTTATATATATATATATAT